GTTATATTTGTGATTAAAGAGTGTATTTTGTATGGATTGAATACTTATATGTGAATTGAGATGATTTTATCATTTTCGGTCATTGAAGAGGATTATGTATTACCTCTGCTCAGTGGAGTGGTCTATAAATGTCCGTTAGGTTAAGTTGGTTAAGGGTGCCTTTCAAGTTTTCCACGTTCTTTAGATTTTTTTTTTGTCTGTTTCTGTTACTGAGAAAGGATGTTGGAGAATAAAGCAGCAGAGCAAATGAAATTACAAATTGTTCCTCTTTTGTTTCTGAGATCTTTACAACTGTGTAGGAGTAAGAGGCACTAATATAGAGGGTTTTAAGAATGTTTTTGCTGGGCAAACTTAGCAAATATTGTATCTTCAAATTTTGGTAATTTATTGAATTTAAAAGCCAATTTAGACAATTATTTTCAGTGATTGTGATTTCGTACTAAATGTGCATATATCTTGAGAGTAAGAGTATAATAGAAGCTGAAAACAGTCCTCTTTTACATATCACTGTGAAGATAATTGATTAATTTCAGAATAGCATCGTGTATAGTAGGTCTTTAAACTTCGGCCAGGCTGGGGTGGCTCATGCTGGTAATGCCAACATTTTGGGAGGCTTAGGCAGGTGCATCATCTGAGGTTAGGAGTTTAAGACCAGACCAGTCAACATGGCAAAACCCCATCTCTACTACCAAAATACAAAAATTATCTGGGCATGCTGGTGCGTTCTTGTCATCCCAGGTACTTGAGAGGCTGAGGCAGGAGATTTGCTCCAAACCGGAAAGCAGAGGTTGCATTGAGCTGAGATAAAGCTATTATATTCCAGCTTGGGTAATGAAGTGAGATGCCATCTCAAAAAATAAATAAACTTATTGAGTATGTATGTGTTACAGGTATATAATTTTTTCTCTGCATTTGAAATGTCTTCTTTCATCAGAGGGGAAAAAAATGAAGATATACCATGTAGGGATTCTATCCAACAGCGCATTAGTACCTGAGGAGGTTAAAGGATTTTAATAATAGGATAAGTCATTGTAGGTTTTTAATGGAATGACTTGATCTTACATGCCTTTTCAGAGGTACCACATTTGGGAGTGTTCCTGACAGTGCACTCTGGGATCTAAGAAATCATTTCCGTTGCTCTTTTTAGTAGTCCCCTTAAAGACATCACTAAAGAGGTGTTTAAATGGGAAAATTTGAAACACTTCCTGAGAAACTTGAAAAAAATCTTGAAAGTTTCATATCGTTTGGCTGTGTCCCTACCCAAATTTCATCTTGAATTGTAGTTCCCGTAATTCCCACCTGTGGTGGCTGGGACCCATGGTAGGTAATTCAGGCATGAGGACCTCCATGTTATGCTCCTGATAGTTAGTGAGTCCTTATGAGGTCTGATGGTTTTATAAGGGGCATTTTCCACTTCACTGTACACTTCTCCTTGCTGCCATCATGTGAAGAAGTATGTGTTTGCTTTCGCTTTTGCCATGACTGTTAGTTTCTTGAGGCCTCCCCAGTTATGCTGAACTGTGAGTCAAAGAAATCTCTTTGCTTTGTAAATTACCCAGTCTTTGGTATATCTTTTTTTTTTTTGGGAGGAAGGGAGGAAGGCAGGAAGGGAGGGAAAGAGGAAGGGAGGGAGGAAGGAAGGGATGAAGGAAGTGGGGAGGGAGGAAGGGAGGGAGGGAAGGGAAGAAAGGAAATCAAGCATTGAGAGAGACATTGCCGGACTGGATCTAGAGGTTTACAAGTTAATTTTTCTTTCTTTCTTTCTTTTTTTTTTTGAGAGAAGGAAAGAGAAAAAAAATGAGTAAAGGAGAGGAAGAGAAAGAGGGAGGGTGAACGGAAGTATTGCTTTATTCTGAAAAAAAATGGGTATTAATAATGGCCAATCAATGTTTCATTTAAACCTATGAGTAGGTGTGATGTGGTATTGACAAGAATGTATATTTTGTGTACTTGAAGTGGAGAGCTCTATAAATATTTATTAAGTTTACTTGTTCCAGATCTGAGTTCAAGTCCTTGATATCCTTATTAATTTTCTGTCTCATTGAATCTAAGACTCTATGTATCTGGGTGTTAGGATCGTTAGCTCTTGTTGTTGCTTTGATCCTTTTATCACTATATCTTTGTTGCTTTAAAATCTATTTTATCCGATACGAGAATTGCAGCTCCTGCTTTTTATTTATTTATTTTTGCTCTCCATTTGGTTGGTAAATCTTTTTCCATCCCTTTGTTTTTGAGTCTGTGTATCCTTGCATGTGAAATAGGTCTGGATGTAACATGCTGTTGGGTTTTGGCTGTGTCTTTTGATTGGGGGATTTAGTCGATTTAAATTTAGGGTTACTGCCATTTGTTGTTAACTGGCTGTTTTATCCATTCGTTTATGTAAATTCTTCTTTATGTTGGTGCTCTTTACTTTTTGGTATATTTTTAGAAAGGCTAATACTGGTTGTTTCTTTCTATGTGTAATGCGTCTTTCAGAAGCTCTTGTAAAGCAGGCCTGGTGGTAATAAAATCTGAGTACTTGCTTGTTCATAAAAGATTTTATTTTTCCTTCAGTTGTGAAGCTTAGTTTGGCTGGATATGAAATTCTGGGCTGAAGGTTCTGTTCTTTGAGGTTGTTGAATATTGGCCCCCACTCTCTTCTGGCTTGGAGAGTTTCTGCTGAGAGATCTGCTGTAAGTCTGATAGGCTTGCCTTTGTGGGTAACCTGACCTTTCTCTTTGGCTGCCCTTAGTATTTTCTCCTTCGTTTCAACCCTGGTAAATCTAACGATTATGTACCTATGGGTTGCTCTTCTTGATGAATATTTTTGTGGTATTCTCTGTATTACCTGGGGTTGAATATTGACCTGCTTTGCTAGTTTAGGAAAATTTTCCTGAATAATATCCTGGAGGGTATTTTCCAGCTTGGATTCATTCTCTCTGTGGCATTCAGGTACACCTATAAAACGTAAATTTGGTCTTTTCACATAGTCCCACATTTCTTGGAGACTTTGCTCATTCCTTTTTATCCTTTGTTCTCTAATCTTGTCTTCTTGTTTTATTTCATTAAGTTGGACCTTGACCTCTGATATCCTTTCTTCTGCTTGAACAATTCAAGTGATTAAACCTGTGCATACTTCTCGGAGTTCCCGTATTGTATTCTTCAGTTCCATTAATTCACTTATATTCCTCTCTAATTTGTCTATTCTCAATAGGATTTCGTCAAACCTTTTTTCAAAGTTCTTAGCTTCTTTACGTTGGGCTACTACATGTTTTTATAACTCACAGAAGTTTCTTATTATCCATTCCTTGAAGAGTGATTCTGTCATTGGGATGCGCTAGTTCTCCCTCAAGCCTTGTTCCATTGTAGATGTGGAACTGTGATCCTCTTTAGAGGGAGAGGCATTCTGATTTTGAGTATTCTCAGCCTTTTTACGCTGTTTTTTTCCCATCATTGTAAATTTATCCTCCTGCGTCTTTGAAATTACCAACTTTCAGATTAGGTCTCTTGAGTGGATGTCCAAGTTGTTAGTTCCAAGGGCCAGAACAGTGGCATTAAGACTGATGGTGGTTTTCTGCCCAGGATTCTCTTGTCTGGCTTCCTTCTTGTGTCTGAAATAGGCGACTCTGCCTTCCCGGGGCTCCAAACCTTGGTCAGAAGGGGAGCCAGCCCTGTTTACTCTACTCTGAGAGCTGCCCTGCCGAGAGCTGCGGTGTGGAGATGCCTGCGAAACCGCTGCGGCCAGCCACAAGAGTTGTGCTGGCGACCCGTGTGACTCCTCCCTGGGGATCTTCTGCTCCATGAGTGACCTGAATTTGTCTGAAAGTGTGGCGTCCTCTAGTTCTCTGTGCTTTAACTGAGAGCTGCAATTCCGAGATGTTAACGATCAGTCATCTTGGATCCTACCCTCTTTGGTATATCTTTAGCAATGTGAGAATAGACTAATACAGAGTTAGAGCTTGATTGTTTTCTAAGGAAAGGTAAAGAAACATTATCAAGTTCTCAATGTGTGCTAGATGCTCCAATAAACACCGTATAAATGTTCTAATTAAAATTTTTTTTTTTCTTTTTTGAGACAGAGTTTTGCTCTTGTTACCCAGGCTGGAGTGCAATGGCACTATCTTGGCTCACCACAAACTCCACCTCCTGGGTTCAGGCAATTCTCCTGCCTCAGCCTCCCGAGTAGCTGGGATTACAGGCACGCACTGCCATGCCCAGCTAATTTTTTGTAGTTTTAGTAGAGACGGGGTTTTGCCATGTTGACCAGGATGGTCTCAATGTCTTGACCTCATGATCCACCCGCCTCGGCCTCCCAAAGTGCTGGGATTACAGGCGTGAGCCACCGCACCTGGCCTTAAAATTGTTTTATACTAGCTCTTTGCATGTTATTATGACTGGGGTTAGAAGAAATTAAGTTTTCCAGACTTGTTAGTAACAAGTCTGTTTGCAGCAAAATTTCAGAACCCTGTTCTTTCCGATGTTTTAGTAATGTTTTCCATTCATCTATTTCCTTCTGCAAAGCCCTGAAAGATTAAAGGTTTGATCTCAACCTATCCTCATCGGTACCCCCAACCAAAGTATGTGTGAAATCTTTGAAACACAGCACATCTCTTTGGGCTTTCCATATTACAAATATTCAAAAATTTCATGTGGTTAATGGCTACCAAAGTCAGTAGTGTTCTTCCAGTGCTTATTTGAGAGTACTTTTGTTGTATAAATAAGGATTGTAGTAACAGTTTAGATATGCAAATTTTACATAAAGTTATTAATGAGCTCCTAATTGCATTAAGCATAGGATATATTCTTTTTTTAAGAGGGAAAAACACTTAGATTATGAATACTGGCTTTAATAAATGCTTAGAGAAATTATTTCCTCTCTGAAACACTGAATTTAATCCTATGCCTATGGAAGAAATGACATATGTTTACGGTTGCTTTGATTTCTTTAAGAATGTAACGCAGGTATATGTATTCTAGGAACGACATGCCTTTTTCTTAATGTTTATAATTTTTATTTCTAGGCTATTCGCTGCTACGAATCTTTAATTTTAAAAGCTGAAGGGAAAGTGGACTCCAATTTATTTTGCCAGTTAGGTCACTTCAACCTCTTATTGGAAGATTATTCAAAAGGTATTGTTACTCTCTTTCTAAATTTCTTGCTTGACTTATGTTTGCACACTAGCTGTAATGTTTTTTCCTTCTTCAGGGATACTTAATATCATATTTTACTTTTTTCTAATAAACTTCCAAACATAGTAATCAAGGAGAAAGAATTTAGACTCAATGGGAATGTGAATATTTTGCGTAATTTCAGGCAAATACTCAGTAAATTAGATTATTGAGTAAAATGTGTAACATCCTACATTATATATTGCTATTTGCCTGCCCTGTGAAAATCATGTTTTTAAAAATGTTATCACAGTAGAAAAACTGTAAGTTTGGTATCTTTGTATTACAAAAATGTGGACATTTTGGAAAAATCAGGGAATTTTTGTTTCTAATTGTATTTCAGTTTCTACAACATTTTTCATTATAGTTAGAAAATACTGCAAGTCTAATCTGTAGTAGTATGTATTACAGATAGCTCATCTCTGAAGTTGAGCCTTGTATACAGCAGATTTTTTCATGCAGTCAAATGATTTTTCTTCTCAGAAATAGGTGGAGGGCTAGGCATGGTGGCTTATTCCTGTAATCTCAGCACTTTGGGAGGCCGAGGCAGTAGGATCACCTGAGGTCAGTAGTTTAAGACCACCCTGGCCAACATGGCAAAACCCTGTTTTTACTTAAAATACAAAAATTAGCGGGGTGTAGTGATGTATGTTGGTGTGGTGATGTGGTGATGTGTGCCTTCAATCCCACTACTCAGGAGGCTGAGGCTGGATAATTACTTGAACCTGGGAAGCCTAGGCGACAAAGCAAGACTGTCTCAAAAAAAATAAAATAGGTAGAATTAAGTTACTTAAGATAATTGTAAAAAATGTGTACTTTTCATAGCACCAAGCTGCCTACTAACATCATTATTTAGGAAATTAAACATTTTTTCTCCATGTCAGTATTCTCATACCGAACAACTATCTTATAAACAAGAATATTTTATAACTTTTTGATAGAAGTAAACATATTGGCAGAGAGTAGGTAGATATATTTTCCAGCAAATATAGTAGTAGAAAGAACAGTTGACTATTTTAGGCTTAGAGGAAAGAGTTGGTGGGGAAGCACCCTAGTATTTGATATACAACATTTTTTGTTAGGTTAAGCCAGTGTTTGCTAATGAAATGTACTTTGGATTTGAAGTATTATAGCATGCTCTATGGGGTATTTATGTTTCAGCTGGAACTTTACCATTTAAAAATGGTTTATATTAAGAGATTTATTTTTCTTTAACATCTTCCAAATGGTGTAGGAAGTTTGGGGAATTGTAGCAGAGGAAGTCATGAACGGTAAATGGAATTCTTAGTACTTGTTAAATGGGCTTTTACTAGAAATGCTTACTTATAAACTTTTAAATAAAAAATTGGTTAAAATGCAGTTTCTTCTTTTTTTTTTTTTGATGGGGGACAGTCTTGCTCTGTCCCACAGGATGCAGTGCTGTGGTACCATCATGGCTCACTGCAGCCTCCGCCTCCTGGATTCAAGTGATTCTCATGCTTTAGCCTGAAGTAGTTGGGATTACAAGCATGCACCACCACGCCCAACTAATTTTTGTAGTTTTAGTAGAGATGGGATTTCATCATGTTCGCCAGACTGGTCTCCAACTCCTGACATCAAGTGATCCACCTGCCTCTGCCTCCTAAGTATCTGGATTATAGGCGTAAGCCACCACACTCGGCCTAAAGTATAATATTTCAAAGGAAATGATTGGAGAAGAAAAATACATAGATTTTTCTGTTACACATTTACGATATTTTTGTGTTTAATATGTAAATTTGAGAGCTAAAAACAAAGACCCTGATTAAAAAGTAGATTTATATAGGGACTGTCTTTTCTCTGCAGCAGTCATTTAATATGTATTTAAAATTTGTCTCTCCCCCTCCTCCCTCACTCCTTCTCTCCCTCCTTACCCCTCTTCTCTCTCTCTCTCTCTATGTCTTTCTCTCATTTCGAGTCAGAGTCGAGTCTCACTCTGTCCCCCAGGCTGGAGTGCGATTGTGTGAACTTGACTCATTGCAACCTCTCACTTCTGGGTTCAAGAGATTTTTATGCCTCAGCCTCCCCTGGGTAGCTGGGATTACAGTTGCCTGCCACCATACCTGACTAATGTTTGTATTCTTAGCAGAGATAAGGTTTTAATATGTTGTCCAAGCTAGGCTGCTTTCGAACTCCTGACCCTCAGGTGATCCACCTGCCTCTTGGCTTCCCAAAGTGCTGGGATTACATGCGTGACCCATCACTACTAGCTGTATTTTAATTTCTTAAAGCTTTAAGATGGAAAATTTAGTTACATTTTCTATTTAAAAGGAAGAGAACAGATCTTGTATAATTTTTGTCTATGAAGTGAATAAACACTGCAAGGAAGTTTGTTTTGAAGGGTATTTTGTTGTATTATGTTGTGTTTGGTCACATAGTAGGTTAGACATTGGGCAAAATATACTGAGGTCAGGGAAAATTAACCTTGACATTTACGTTTTTGATTAGATATTCTCTCAGTTCCATATTGGCATAAGAAGATTTAGTCTTTTTAGAGGTAAAGAATAACTTGATCATTTGTAATAGTAAAGAAGAAAATGAATTCAGGGGCATACAGTTATATTTTACATTTAATGGTGAGTTGTAAGTTTTCCAATTATAAGCTGAATTTCCAGCCATTCATAACTTTCTTCTTCTCTTCTTTCAAGTAATTAATTTATTTGTTTTCCTGATGATCACTTTTGTTAGAAATATTGGTTTTGTGTTTTTGGTTCCTGTTCATTTGCCAAGTGTTATTCAAAGAATGACTAACAATGTTTGTCAAACTTTATGTTTCTTTTTCTTCTCCTGTTCGCCTTACATTTTCTTGGGTGAAATTATAATACTCTGCCTTGGCACATAGATTACAGAGCATAATATGTTTGTTTCCCAATAATAGGTCTTTGAGTTAGGGTTCTCCAAAAATAGTAGTTTTATTTCATTTATGGATGAATCTGTTTTTGTTGTTGTTTAAATTGAAGATGACGTTTCTTTAATTTGAAGTGTAAAAAGTTTGGATTATTATTCCTTCAACTTTTAAGTTCTGGGATACATGTGCAGAATGCAGGTTTGATATAATTGTTTATTGCCCCTATCAACTTAACACCTTGGTATTAACCCTGCATCCATTAGCTGTTCTTTGCCATGTTCTCTCTCTGTTTTTTTTTTTTTTGATTATAGCTTTCTTTTGTTCGTTAGAGATTCATGGGGAATTTGTTAAATACATAGATTCTCAGTTTGTAATTCAGATATGCTGTTTGTTTCCCGTATAAGGTAGAATATGTAACTAGTGACCATAGCATATGTTTCATTGAAGGATTATTCTTGACGGGGCCTTGGGCCAACGTAGTTTTCCTTCTTTCTCACTTGCAGTTCTAAAAAATGACTGCAGAATGTATTGGGAGTACAACATCCTGACGTGATAAGGGACTGGGACATACAACCCTACTTTTTTCCCTACTGCCTTCCACACCAAAAGCAGGATGCACTAGACTAAAGAGCTCATGGTGTGTTTTTTTTAACTGTTTAGTCCATTAAGACTCATAATGCCAGGGTATTAAACCTAGGGCTGCTTTTTACGGTTCCTCAGCTGTGGTGCAAGTGGGCATGTACAGATGAGATTCCGAATGCTCTGGAGCTTTTCTATGCCTTAGGCTGAAGCTTGCTATGAATCCTAGGCTTCTGTTATTACAGAGAGAAAGCATGGGAAAGACAGGATAAAGTTCCTGTTAGCTTTTGATGGCAGCATTATTATTAGCTGATCAATATATAACTGTATTTTATGTTTCTCTTTAAAGATCTCTGTTAAAATCTGAATTGTTGATTATCATTGAATTCAAACGCAGATGCAGTATAACTCATGCCTGAATGAAGTACATTTTTCTGTGAGTCACATCACATTTTTCTTGTACTTAAGTACACCAGACAACTCTTTGGCATTATGCGTTAGTTAGTGATTTTTATCAATTTTCTTTAATTTGTTTTTTTATATTTTATTTCTTTATTTTATTTTTTGAAACAGTCTCACTTTGTTGGCCAAGCTGGAGTGCAGTGGTGTCATCTCGGCTCCCTACAACCTTTATCTCTTGGATTCAAGCAATTCTTGTGCCTGAGCCTCCCTAGGACCTGAGACTATAGGTGTCTGCCACCACACGCAGCTGATTTTTGTATTTTTAAGAGATGGGCATCTCACCAGGTTGGCCAGGCTGATCTTGAACTCCTGACCTCAAGTGGTATGACTGCCTGAGTTTCCCAAACTGCTGGTATTACAGGTGTGAGCCACTGTGCTTAGCGGAGAGTGACTTTAAACAGTGAAATTACTAACAAAAGAGCAAAAATAAGGGAAATGTGATACTATATATAGCAGGAAAATATGTTTAGAGTACCTGATACATGAAGTCACCTTTTCCAACATTAGCTGGGAATATGTATATCCAGTGGCTCAAATTTTTTGCCACCGTGTGCAGGTCTGTGAATAACTGTGAAACCATCATAGGTATTGACTTTGTGTACAAAGAAATTTTAGTAAGTTGAATAACAGGTAACCTGCAAATAATGAAGATCAGCTTAATCTCTGAAAGCTGATAAATTGTTTCTTATGTATCATGTGATCTTTTACCTAGAGATTCATGGGAAATTTATAAAAAAATTTATATAGATTTTTTTCTTTAATATGCAGGTCTGATTTTTTCTTGACAGTAAAAGACACAATATTGAGATAAACTTATTCTCGTAGAATGGTATTATATGTCTCTGTATAGTTGACAAATTTTTGCATATGTATTCGCTGATTAATTGATCTTCCCTGCATTCCAAGGCTAAGCACACAATGTCGTCATGTAATGTTGAATTAAATGTGTTAAGAATTCAGTTACAGTTTAAAAACGTCATAGATAGTAACTTGCTTCTCTACCTCTCCTAAAAAATCTTTAGGGATTTCTCAGTGATCATAGTTTGCGATGTCA